ACAGTTAGGTTTGCAACAAATTTAAGCCAAGTGCATGAATCAATATTTAAATAGGAAGTGCGGATTTTATTTAATAAATATAAATGGAATGATGGACAAGTAGATTAATTTAAACATAATATTTCTTCAGGTGAGTTGCATTCCAAGGGCGTGGCATATACTGACTAGTCTCAACCCTTCTAAGCTTGTAGGCACCTTTTCCGTATGCTTCTATGACCTCAAACGGTCCTTCCCATGAGCGACCAAACTTGCCTGCATTTAGATCCTTGATGTTTTTCATTACTCTCCTGAGGACCCACTCACCAACTTTGAACCTTCTCGGGTTGATTCACTTGTTAAAGTAATTAGCAACTTGGTTATGATAGTTTGCTAGTCTCAACGCTGCAACCTCTCGATGTTCCTTAATCAAATCGAGGTTACGAGCAATTTGTTGGTCATTATTCTTACTATCCGCCACCATCGTTCGGATTGTGGGCAATCCGATCTCAGTTGGGATAACGGCTTCACTTCCGTAGGCTAAGGAAAAATAACTTTCGTTGGTTTTCGTTTTGTGGTTCAGTACGCCCATAACACATTTAGGAGTTCCTCAAACCATTTGCCCTAAACCCTTGCGTTGCTGGAGTGTCTTCCTAAGTCAATCAAATATGGTTCGATTTGTTTTTTCTACTTGACCGTTTCCTTGGGGATAGCTACGGGACGAGAACTGCTGAATGATCCCTTTCTCCATGCAATATATCCTGAACTTCCGATTGTTGAATTAAGTCCCATTATTTGAAATGATGGCTCTGGGTATCCCAAACCTACAAATGATGTTGCGCCAGACGAACTTTATCACGTCGGTCTATGCTACTGTCCCATACGCATCGGCCTCCACCCACTTGGTAAAGTAGTCTGTGGCTAATAGAACATATTTTTTGCCCCCAGGCTATGATATCCATTCCCCATCAGGCAAATGGCTATGGTCCCACGATCGGACTGAGTTCTTCTGCAAGTTGCCTGATCATAGGTACGTGTTTCTGGCACTTGTCACATTTCCTCACAAATTGCTCGGCCTCTCGAGCCATGCAAGGCCAAAAGTAGCCTTGCGTTATTGCCGTGTGTGCCAATCTTCTTCCTCAAGAATGATTGCCACAAGTTCCCTTGTGCAGTTTTTTAAGGGTCCACTCCGCTTCGGATGGGATTAGGCAATGTAGATAGGGACCCAAAAAAAACTTCCTGAAGAGGACGTTTTCTATGAGTGCGTACCTGACAGCTTTCATCCGAAGTTTTCTCGCTTCTACCAGATCTGTGGGTTGCGTTCCTGCCGTTAGATGATTTACTTTTGGTGTCATCCACGTCACCTCTAAGTTGACTTGCATAACCCGAGGTTCAACAACATCCAGACTGGGGCTTTCCAAGCATTCTACAGATATGACCCTTGTTGAATCCTCACCTAAAGCTGAGGCGGATGCCGCACATGCCAACTGGTCTGCTCGTCCATTCAGCTCTCTAGAAATCTGCTTCAGTTTGAACTTCTTGAATTGTTGAGACAAACGCTTTGATAGTTGTTGATACGCCTCCATCCTTTCGTCTTTGGTCGTGTATTCCTCATTTGATTGATTGACTATAAGTTGGGAGTTACTGTACACCTTCAAATTACATATCTTTAGAAGTTCGGCAATTTTCAATCCCAATACCAAGGCTTCATATTCAGCAACATTGTTTGAGGTGGGGAAATCCAATCTGATAGAGTATTCTAGCTCTATTCCTTCCGGCAAAGAAAGGATGATCCCGACCCTGGCCCCTGCCTGGTTGGATGAGCCGTCTGCATATAACTCCCACGGTGTTTCCTTGTTGCACCCTGCTCCTATTGTATCCCTTTGTTTCTCATACATTCCTTCTATGGGATAACATTCGACAAGAAAATTAGCAACTATCTGTCCTTTTTTAGATGTTCTCGGTTAGTACCTGATGTCAAACACTCCTAACTCGATCGTCCATTTTGTGACTCTACCCGACAGATCTAGCTTGGACAAGATTACTTTAATAGGTTGATTCGTGAGCACTGTAATGGTATGAGCCTCAAAATATTGCCGGAGTTTCTTCTTGGCTACTACCGATGCCAAGACAAGTTTCTCGGCTGGAGTGTATCTCTTCTCAGCATCAATCAGGCTCTTGCTGACATAGAAAATAGGTTGTTGGAGGTAGTTCTCTTCTCGAAACAATGTTACGCTTACTGCAGCTTCAGTTACGGCAAGGTAGATATACAACATCTCTCCTGGCTTTGGTATAGTTAGGATTGGGGGACTTGTCAAGTATCGTTTCAGTTGATCAAAAGCTTCCACTTGCTCTAGCCCCCATACCTCATATTTTCTATTCTGGATTGCCCGAAAGAAGGGTTTGCACCGGTCGGACAAACGTGAGATGGACGGACTTAGTGCCGCTATCCGCTATGTTAGCACCTGCACTTCTCTTGGAGTCTTCGGGCTTGACATGTTCCGTAACGCCTCCACCTTCTCTAGGTTTGGTTCAATGCCCTACCTATTCACAATGTACCCCAAAAATTGACCAGATGAGACACCGAAAGCACATTTGGTTGGCTTCACCCTCATCCGATATTGCCTCAACATGTCGAAGATTTCCTGAAGATGACTTAGGTGCTGAGTTTTCACTGCACTTTTGACAACCATGTCGTCGATATAAACTTCCATTGTCTTCCCAAGTTGGTCTTTGAACATCTGATTCACCAACCGTTGATACGTTGAGCCTGCATTCTTCAAACCAAATGGCATCACCATGTAACAATATAGGCCACGCTCGGTGATGAAGGTTGTTTTTTCTTGGTCTTCAACTGCCATTGGGATTTGGTTGTACCCTGAGTAAGCATCAAGAAAAGTTAAAAGTTCATTCCTAGCTGTGGCGTCCACTATTTGATCAATTTTAGGCAGCGGGTAGCATTCTTTCGGGCAGGCTTTGTTTAAATTGATGTAATTGACACAAACTCGCCATTTTCCTTTCTTCTTAGCCACAACCACCACATTAGAGATCCATGTCGGGCACCACATGTCACAGATGAACCCAACCTCCAGAAGTCTATCCACTTCGTCACTAATGATCTGATTTCTCTCTGGCACTAACCTCCTTTGCCTCTGCTGGTGTGGTGGGGGGTCAGGGTCCACGTTTAGGTGGTGACACGCGACACTGGGATCAATTCTAGGCATATCTACATGTGACCATGCGAGCATGTCCTTATTATTCCTCAAGAACTAGATGAGACACTACCTTTCGGTGTTGGATAGGAGGGAGCCCACCAATACTTTTCTATCGGGATCAAAAGGATCCAATATCTCCTCCCTTACTGGTTCAATTGTGGGGGGCTTTGGATCGTCCTCCTGCTCTATTGGTGGGTCCTCCGTTAATTGCTAGAATTGCTGGTTCAGTTGTGGCTACGCTTTGGCTGCATCCTTGAGGTCGGTCGCTATATTGTAACACCTTTTGGCTTGGAGTTGATCCCCTTTGATACCGATAATACCAAGACCATCGTTAGTCAAACATCTCATCACTTGGCATCTGGTTAATGTCTCGTCATCCATTCTATGGATCCAATCTCTCCCCATGATCACATTGTAGGCACTCGGAGCGTCCACCACCACGAAAGTTACCAACAGAGTTTTTCCGGCAGCTATGACGGGTAGTGTCACGTCTCCTATTGCTCGTGCCTTGCTGCCCTCAAATGCGAAGAGTGGTGTGGGATTAGGTCTGATCCTGCTTTCATCCAATTTCATTCTTTTAAAAGTGTCCCAAAACATTACCTCAGCACTGCTTCCATCGTCGATCATAACCCTCCTGACTTTCGAATTTCCCATTTGAAAAGTCACAACCAGTGTGTCGTTGTTGGGAAATTGGATTCTTTCAAGGTCTCGCTCGGTAAATGAGATGATCTCGACCTTCTCCAATGACTAGGCCGATTCTGGTGCTGAAGCAATTCCACAAACACGTCTTATCTTCTCAGCTTGTCTCTTCTCGGTTCGGGCTCGAGCCAGTTGACCCTCTGGTGGATGAGGCCGGCCATGAATGACATTAATCTCCAACAACCCCTCTTCAGCGGCGATGTTGTTGGTCACTGGTTCAGCCGTGCGCTCCTCCTTCGGCTTATCTTCTGGTTAGGCTCGATATTGCGAAACCATCCCTTTTTTCAGCATTGCTTCAACTTGGTATTTGAGATTCCGACAGTCGTTGGTAGTGTGGCCAAAGTCATTATGGTGAGCACAAGTCTTCCTTCGGTCTCGTTTTTCTAGCGGTTCCCGTAATGTCAGAGGCGTTCGGAAAATCCCTTTGTCCTTGTTTTCGTGGAAAAGCTTAGCCAGACTGACAGTAAGTTTGGTTGGAGGAGAATTGGTCCTAGCTTGGTTGCGAAGATTTCCACTTGAAAATTTTGTCCTTGGCCCTTGGATCGTCTCATACGGGTGCTTTGGTGCTGAAATGGTTGTGGTGGTGCGCTTTGACAGAGCAAGTTCCTCCTCTTCTAGTCTGATGATTTCATCGGCCCGAGCCAGAACCTCCCTCATATCGAGGGGTGGTGTTTTAACCGAGGACTTGTGCATTTTTGTTCTCGACGTCACCCCTTTACGGAATGCCAGTGACGCAGTGTGAGAATTATAAGTCTCTAGAGTCGACATCTCCTCCGTGAATCGCTTCAGATAATCTTTTAGACTCTCACATGCCTTCTGCTTTGTGCTGAATAGCGCCGTGATGTCTTTCTTCCTTTTTTTGGTTGCATACATATTGAGATATGAAAGCCTCACAAAGCTCAGTGAAGCTACTGATGGACTTCTGCCTCAACTGCCTGAACCAAGTCAAAGCCGACCTCGACAGGCTAGACGGGAATAATTTGCACAACAATGCTTCGTCTTCGCTTTCGAGGACCATTTGCTGCTGAAAGTGATAGATGTGCTCAATGGGATCTGCTACACCTTCGAATAACTTGAATTTTGGTTGAGTGAACTTTGCGGGCTTCTTAGCCTTCAGAATATCATTGGTGAAAGGTGATGTGCTGATTCCCTTGGCAGCCTCAACAGCCAGTTCGGCATGTGTCTGTGGTTTTTACCCTTTCACAATCTTTTCTATTTGTCTTCGCAATTCGCTGTCTTTGGATTTTTTCAATTCCTTCCTCTGGTCTTGGTAGTCTTCATGGTCGTTGTGCTGACCATCAAAATGGGTACTTTATGTGGAACTTTCATCGGATAACTCTATCCTCTTTTTCCTTTTCCTCTCATTGGGTCCTTCATGCTGCTACTTATGGTTGCCTTTGGATTTCTCCAAAGCTTCGGTTGCCATCTTCCTCGTTTCACGCAACTCTTTCATTATCTTCTTAAGCTGGATGGCTGCGAGGCTGGGTTATGCTTTCTCAGAGTTTGATCTGATATCTGTGGATCGGGGATTGGATCGGGCTGAAGCGTCCTGTGCTGATTCGGCCATTGATTGATTTTGCGAGAGTTCCCACAGACGATGCCAACTGTTAGAGCAGAAATTCTTACAGTAAGAATGTCTTCCACAGGTTCTTGGCTTTACTCCGCACACGAGATGAACAAATCTCCAAGCGACACTTCTCCCAAATCAGATGAGAGAGGGATGGGTACCTGCAAAAGATACTCCGACGCTCAAGTCAATTTTTGTGTGTATTTGAGTGCACCAATTAATCTTAAATTGCATCCCCTTCTCTGGTTGTGGAACTCCACATTTATACCTGGTGACAGACTTGGGATGCAAGCCTCACTTTGCATGTCTTATGTCCACTTCCGCCACTTCCGGTTAGCGTGAGTTGCGCGTTGTCAACTCTCAACGTGTTCACGTTGTCCCTTGATTCATGCGAATTGGGGAATGCGATCGTTTAAATATACCCACGAACTCATGTCGGGCCACTTATACACGAGTCAACATGGGGTAATGCGCTTGTGAACCCACGTTGAGTGGTGCATATTCGAACCTGCGTTAGGCGGTGCGCATCTGAAATCACATTGGGTTTACGCGCATGCGAACCCGTATCGGGCCAATGTCAATACGAACTCACGTTGGGCTTATGCGTATATGAACCCATATTGGATCGACCCCAATCTGAGCTCGTGTTGGGCTTTCATGCAAGAGAACTTGCATTGGGCCAACGCCCATATAAACCTATGTTGGGTTGTGCCTAAATATGATCCCGTGGTGTGGTGGATTGGTATCGAATTATTTTGCTCCCACAGTCTCCAATTTTGGTCTTTTCTTCTCTTTTAATCAAGCCAAGTCCAGGTCAAGTTTTTGGAGCTATGGGCTGATTTCTTTCTCTTTCTTCTTTTCGAAGCCCAAGTTTTTTGACAGATCCTAGGTTGGGCTTTTTTTGGATTTTAGGCCCTTTACTCTTCTAATCGCAAAGTCCAGACTGCTTGGGCCCTGTAGTTCGTTTTGTTTCTCTAGGCTTTTAATGTTGGGTTGGGTGTGCAGAATTTTGGCCCAAACAATGCCCCTTTTAATCTGAACCGTTTTTGGAAACTTTTCTTTTTTAAACTTTCAACGGTTCAGATTGAATCAATTGGCCATTAATGTTGCGCGTCACTCTCTTCCATTTCGATTAACCCATATGTGCCACGTCTTGTCTATTGAGCTAGACTACATGAGAAATTGGGTAGTTACTAGCTAGCCATTATCAGATGACGCCTTATTTTTTCCACGATTTTGAGCCCTTTTTAAGGAATTTAAAATTCCAGCTCCTGTTCATTTCAAAACCTAGTTGCCTCAGACCTTTGATTTTCTCAGTTTTCCTCAGAATTTTTACTCTTCTCTTTGACCACACCCTACCTTCCTTTTGTTTGATTCTTCTATTTTCAAACTTTTTTGGAAAAAGCCTGAGAATGTCTTCTCCAAACACTCGCGCCAAGGGTTCTTCTTCTTCTATTCCTCCTACCTATATTAGTAGAGCTGGCATTGATAAGCATGCTATTGAGGTTCAGAGCAAGCTTCACCCTTTTGCCCAAAAGAATATGGATGAAAATGTCCTTCACCTCTTTGAAAACACCTTGGTTTTAGGCCCCCACTGGTTCTGTTTTGTCCCTACTGAAATGGCAGAATTGTTCAAAGGTGACGCTGAAGCTTCCCTCTGTTTTGGGAGCTCTTCTGCCCTGGCTTCTCATTCTTGGGTTAGCAAGAACTTGAGTTGTTCATTCCCATCCAGTGAGGTAAGGAACAGCTCTGTGAAATGGGCAAGCTAGATCGACAGACTTCTTCCAAGATATGGAGCTCACTGGAGGAGGACATGGATTTATGATGCTATTCTCCTATCCAAACAATCCATCAACAGAGATAAGAATCTGCTTGCTGCTGCTCTGTGTTTCAGGAATTTTGCCAGTAA